TGAAATATATTCAATCGATTCACCTTCAACGTAAGTAAACTGTTACTGTATACTACATACGTATGTATGTCGATTGACAAAAAAACTGTCGCGTCGAAATGACCCCTACCCGGATTGAACGGATGACCCTGAGGAACCTCGGCAAATTCACTGCCCTGAGCCGGAAAAGGGCAAAGGGAGCCACATGTTGCTGGAATCTCATACTCTACCACTGAGCTAAGGGGTCTTAAGTTCTCTCTCAAAGAGCTAAGGAAAGTTCTGAAGAAATCATCAAATCTTCCAACTCGTTACATACATATGTACCTAAACAAAAAAGTAAATTCTAGGCGATTGTTGATTGACCCCTACCCGGATTGAACGGATGACCCTGAGGAACCTAGGCGAACGACCGCATGTACTGATGAAGGTAAAGGCGGATGTGTGGCTGGAATCTCATACTCTACCACTGAGCTAAGGGGTCTTGGACGTTTGTAAGTACGCGGCTCCACATCCTCTGCTCCCGATAAGCATGTGGATATGTATTTGAGCCACAGGCAAGCCACAGGAGCGACTTGATTTTTATCACTTGGGGTTTTCGGATTTTTTGTGATGATCATGATCGACGACACGAATTAATTTTGGGATATTTTTGGTATCGTATGTAAGCAGCTCATATGCATCTTGAAGAGAACCATCATGTCGATGAAAACTGGCCATGGAATTCGAAGTTCTCCTTTGTACGATCTAGGGCCTGTCGACGTATCTTCTCCTTAAAAGTGCTCCTGGCCAGGACTCATACTACCTACTAGTACATCCCTGCTTGCATGACGTCCAAGTCGAAGTCCACTCGGAATTCCGTAGTATCATCATCCACTACACTTTGACGTCGGGGCCACATTAAACATGTACTCATTGCTCAAATGAACCTCGCTTAAATTTCCATCTACCACTCGATGGTCGTCTTGTCCACATTCTTATTATCATTCATGTATCGTGGGTCAATGCCTCCAAGGTTCAACAAGGCTATATAACTAGCCCCCCCCTCTCCTAATCCGGTTCCAGTGGTACATTAAATCACCACTTTCTTTCTGGACGTCAAACATCCAGGATTTCTATTTCTCGTCTCGCCGACTTGCAATTGCAATTGATGCAGATGTCTCACGACGACAACCTCAGACATGCTGTGGCTTTGGCTTCTCCGAGTCCTACTACGCCAATACCATTATCATCCTCTCCGAGCCCGACACTGGTATATGGAAGTCCGAGTCCGCGGCCATCCTTGGAATCTTTACAGTCAGATGATTCATTAGAGTCACTCGATTGGCAAACGGGGGTCACGTTCGTACGCCTTCCGGATCCATTGAAGGCATTCCCGTCTTGGGAGGCACCTGCATTATCCTCTGACACACTGGACGAGCATAGTACGATCCGAGTCGATATCCCACCTGGTGTTCAACTGGCACCATATGCATCTTCTTCCTCTCCTTCCACTGGCAGCAGCACTTCACGTTCATCTCTCGAAACTTCACGTACAGACGATTCTGATTCAAGTTCAAGTTCTGAATCACTCGACTCATCACAACGACGGAAATCGAAATTCATCCACCTAACCGCATGCCCCAGTTCCAAAGAAGGCGATTGGGCTTCCTCATCGACAGATAGTCTATCCGAACCACCTCCCTTGGTCCCAGCAGATTGTCACGGATGCGACATCGCGAAACTTCTACCCGTTCCAGTCAGAAACGTACCTTTGTTTTTTAAAGAGCCACCTACGATTTCGATGCGGTTTTTTAAATTTGGGTTTCGTGAGTTTTCCTTAGTTCCCCGG